ATAAAGTAATGAGTAAAAAAAAAAAAGTCTTCAAATGCTAGGGACGCAGTTTTCAAATTGTTAGGTTGAGCTCCCCTACTTATTTTTTGCCAATTCGAGCACTGAATATATCATATTATTATATTTATTTTAATGATAGTACAACATTAAATTCGTTTATAATATATTTTTAAGTAATGTTTTATGATATACAAAGATAAATTTATTTGTTAGAGGGGGAAAAAAAAGAGTTTTTTACTAATATAGTTGAACTCAGATACGTCCAATCATTAATCCTCAATAATATATTTTATTCATGCAGAAAATTATACATTAAATTATGTAAGTACATAATATTATTTTATAAATGTTAGAATATAAAAATACTATATAAGAAAACTTACATTATACATATACTATTTGACTTCACGAACAAAAAAAAAAAAAATAAATAAAGTCATTAATGAGTTCATTAAATAAAAAAAACTTGTACAGAAATATAAATAGCGTTTACAATTTTTTGTTTTTGCGAGTTGCATTTGTGCTAAGGATGAAACCCCAAACAGCAGAAGAATGTGACGATACTATACCTTAAAATGGAAATATAACACTATAATATAATAATTTATAAATACTTGGCATAGAAAAAAATGTAAAAGATGGACGTTATTGTTATACAAAATCAACATTTCCAATTCGTTATTATGTTCTTCTACGGTATATTGCACATTGTTACAACACATGCAAATTTTCGCAGTTCTTTAACTTTGAGTCTTCTTTGCCAAATACCCAAGTGAACATTTGTCTAGCTTTTAAACTGGCTTTTAAGAAATTTCTATTTTTATACCAATGTTCGTGCTCCTCAGAAATATTTGATCGTTTTAGTCTAATTTGGGTAAGTATTCCAACTAACAGTTCGTCCACGTTATGATTTATGCCCACTGACACTTCAATGTACTTAGCCCGGCACGTACATGCCAGGTATCTGCCTTCTGTAAGCCAAAAACAAATTTTAGTTTCATAATTACATCATACGTGCTATGACAAACATAACACAAAATACTATTGTAAAGAGACCAAATATAAAATAATTTCTCTAAATAATAAATCTAGAGAAAATATAATTGGATTACAAAGTAAAGACTTGTTCGTGTAATTGAAACAATCAGCAATATAATCATTTTTATGGAGGAAAATAAAAACATTAAAAGTAGTAAGTATATGAACTAATAATAGAACTGATTCACAATTTCATCATAGTGCATTTTATCGTTGCTCTGTATAATTTAATATTAAACCGAGTAGACACAATTATGGTGTGAAATTGCAACTGAAGACGAATATTCTGCCGATTTTATTTTACCATTGTTCATACATAAAAAAAACTTGGCTTCAAAACAAGTTTTTTTGAATATTTTAATAAAACTGAACACAACAGATTTTTCTAATGCGTTATTTACGCGCTAAAAATTGTATGAAAGGACATCACATTTAAGTCATTACATTTTTACGATTTTGTTGTCCACCATAATGTGTAACTGACTGTAGTGTTGAAGGTTTTGGCTGATGAATAAAAACGTAAATCACGGAGGATTATCGTTAAATCAAGAAACAGTGTAAAACTTGGCTTGATTGGCGGATCGGAAGAAAAATAAGCCAATAGTTATATCCGATTGGTCTCGATAATATGTACCAGAGCTTGTAAATTTTTAAATACGTTAATCTTGGGTTTGTAATGGACACATATTATAACACTTTTATTTAAAATCTATTCCGAGGAATTAAAAGAATTAAGTTGTCTGTGTAGTATTACATTGTTTTATATAATATCATTAAAATCCAAGATTTTAGTATGATTAAATACTTAAAAGTATGATGATTTAAAAATTAATAAAATGAAAATTTCACGTACATTAAACACATGTATTTTAAATGCACCTAAGGATACCGATTAAATTTCATTACAAGATGAGTTAACACTCAAAACTTAAGATTCTTGAAAAAAATACATAAAGAAGTTTTAAATGTTCAGTGAATCTGAAGAAAAAACAAATAACATAAGAAATTTTTTTAGTATGGCATGAAAAGGATTAAATGCATTTTGAGATATTTTTCACTTAGGTTAGTTTAAGAGAATTAATAAATATTTAATTGAAAGAAATACTTATAAACATTATGAGCTATATAATTGGTAACGTTTATTTTAGATGAATCAAAGAAAAAAAAGAGCACTGTTGTTGTTTTTTAATTCAAAAGAGATAAAAACTTTTAAAAATATTTAACCTTTGAAAAATATTACTTAAGTATCAAGATCGTACTTATGATTATTCTTCAAGTGTCTTTTACATTTTGTACTTCTTTAACATCCTGTTTAAAGTTTTTTTTATTTAGTCTTAACTTGCATAAATATCAAGTATTTTACAAAAAAGATATTGGTTAAAAAATTTGTTTATCAGAACCAGATAGGTAAAACATATGTTAGTTCTTTTAAAAACTGTTCGAATAATTAATAAATTTCAATGTTATAGAACGTAAATCTACATAAAATATAATGAGAGTTTTTTTTTTTATATTTTTTATAAATTTGACCAATTCTTATTCAATTGTAAATTTCAACATCAGCCAGTTGTCTGTGTATTGCCATACATTTTTGTATAAATTTTAACTTATTTTTTTATAGTTAAGTTATACAGACATTATTAAACATAATACAATGTAAAACAATATTATTCTCACCATGAGATGTTACTTCTCTGCTTCTGGCCATATCAACTTTGTTTCCGACTAGGATAGCTGGTCTTGAGCGTAATAATTCATGTTCACGAAGTTTTTTTAATATTGTTTCAGCTATTTCAAAACTGTTTTTGTCTACTACTGAAAATATTACGAGATATGCATCGGCAAGTTGAGGAAGTCGTTCATCTTTCAACTGAAAAAATAAATCAATTAATTATTGTTTGTCTAAATTTATATCAATTCAAACTTTAATTACTTCACTTTCGTTCAAAAATCTAAGTTCTGACTCATCACCATTTAACATAATGCAAACTGATTGCATCGATGATTCATTACTAGTGTCTAAAAATGGTAACAAATTTAAAAATTATTTAAAAATAGAATAATATGTTTAATAGATAAGTTTGAATATTTAAAGTACATACTAAATACCTTAGTATATCTAAAATCTTAAAATATATTAGATGACATATTTCCACGAGATTATTTAAAAAGTATTATGATTGTGAAATCAAATAAAACCTAAGTTTTAATATGTTTGAAAAAAAAGTTGATAGGTATTTTTACGTTTTAGATTTAGTTCCTATTACATTTTTCCATCGTTTGCATGTATATTAAAATAAAAATGAGAAACGTTTTTTTTATAATAAATCTTGAAAAGAAAAATATTTTTAAATCAAATATTATACTTGCACGATAACACTCAAGAAACCCATTAATAAACTTGAAATGGATATAGGATATAAAATGTTTAATATGTAAGATAAAAGCATATCTTTGGTGAATTTAAAAATTATTACTTTTTTAAGTTCAAAAGAGAAGTAGAATATTCGATAGAATATTTTTTATTTTTAGTCAGCATTATTATTTAATTTATGTATTTCAAAGTATGCTGATTTATTTAGGTTGTATAGAATTCATTGAAAATTGAACTGAATCAGACTTTTTTTTTTATTATATTCAATAGTTTCCATAGTTTCACCTTCATTTTATTATTTGTATCAGACATAATATACAGGGTGGCCCACCACTCACTGACAACTTAAATAACTTTTTATCCAGTTAATATTTTTAGTTAATTTTTTTTTTAAATAATAGTTATACGTTAGGTCAATAGCTATATCTCAATAATTAATTTTTTTACATTTTATTAAAAATATTATTTATTTTTAAATTTTAAATAAAATTTAAAAAAAAAATCTAAGATAGCTATTTTGTAGAGTAGAATTTAAGAAAAATTTTAGTAAAAAAATATCTTATTAATATTGAGTAATAAATATTCTGTAGCGTTTTGAAGTTTGTGAAAATTTGAATTTTCATGTATTATTTTACGGTATTAAACATTGAAATACGTATTGAGAAAAGGACAGAAGAAAACGCTATCTTTTCATGATTACTGTGTATACATATGATGATAATGTGTATACATTACAAACTTGGCATTAATACCATGATAAGAAATTAGATAAGGCAATTATTACTTATCACTCTCATTCAAAAGTATAAGTCATTTTCATGGAAAAAGTTACACACCTCCAAATTATAGTGGTGGGCCACTCTGTATATTATAATTAAATTTAATAATTTTTATTTTGATAAATTATTATTGAAATAATTTCCATAATTTTATTAATAATACGCTACACATTTCTATAAAATCTCTGATTTTAATAATGGCATATTTATTTCTCTTAGATAAGTTTTAGAAATATTTTGTAACATACTCTGAAATTATAATTTATTACATAAAAAGTTTAACACTTCAGTTCAATAGCAATAGAAAATTTTATATCTTGTCGCATCAATAGTTAATCTATTTTAGTACCGCAAGTTATATGACACTGTAATGTTCAAATTTTTAAAACGCATGAGAGTTTTTGCATTAAGTTTGTTATTTTGCTTTATTTTAAAATGTGACGAGATAGGACCATGATTCAGAATCGAGTAAGTTATTTAACTATTTAATATGAATTCAAGTGAATTTATGTCAAACAAATTACAATTTTTCTACGTTCAATTTGAATAAATTATTATACAATATAGATAAAAATCCTACAGCTTAAAAATATTTTTTAAGATTAATAAATATATACTGTTATTTTTTTAATCCAACAAAACTCTAATGTTAATTAAACGCACCTCTTTGTCTTTCATAAGCATTTATATATTCTGATGTCATAAATTGACTAATTAGTGCCGTTTTACCAACTCCTCTTGTACCAAGTAAAGCAACGGTGTAAGATGTAATGTCTTCGTTCTCTTGTTTATTGGTTATCGGAGGCGTACATTCTTTAAATTCGTCGTCTTTAGCTAAACTGTTACTTCTTGATCGACGTTTTCGGAATGAGTCACCTCTATTTATTATACCTAAATTAATATACAATTAAGTAAATTTATTGATAAATACAATTATAAAATCATAGATAATATTATTTGATTAGTATTAAAAATATTTAAGAAAAATTTTTTTAAATATTGTTGTTCATTGGCACAAACCTTTTGAAGTGAAACTAAAAGATCTAAGTCTATAAGAATTTTCAGGTTCTTCAGGTTCCGGCGTTTTTTTGTTTTCTATTGAAAAAGGTACGTCTAAAAATGCACCAGATTTCCTATGACCCATGTGGGCTTTCCTTGTTGAGGGTTTTCGTTTGAAACCATTGGTCACTGTAGATTCTGGAACGTACATTGGGAGGTAAGAATTTGTATTTTTAAATTACTCACGTACAATATACCGGAAACCACACACATGTAACACTACATAATTAAGGAATATTATATAGCTTATTAAATATATAATTCTACTTATTTAAATAGATAATAAAAATGGAGGCGGTGATGGATCAATGAGAAGGCTGAGTGCCAGAAATATTCCAGACAAATTCTATAATTAAACGAATGCATGAACCAAGTCCTTTGTCAGTGTTCATTTATTTTTATAATTTTTAGAAAAAAAAGTTGATCGTGATTAAAATGTAAGAATATTATAATTTAAATTTATGTAATGTCCAAAATGACAAAGACTATTAAGTTTAATTTAAAATATCAAGTGTATATCACCACAATTAAGTTATAGTTGTGTCTTCCTACTAATACAATAAATATATTTGTCCAGTGATCAGCTTTTTTATTTTAACTGTTTTGTTATGAGTTTTGATATGAGGTACAATAGTCATAATAGTTCCTTTGACCAATAGTGTCCTAGTGATGATAATTAAATTCACTATTTTATATAGTAAACTTAAAAATCTGACAATAAATGTTGCTTAGATTATTGCGTATGCGAATTTTTTGTCGAAGGATAGTTTAATAAATTATTAATTCGTTCATAATATTCTATCAATGCAGAGTGATTTTTCAACTATGAATCACGCAATGTCTATAAGAATATAAAAAATAATTTATTTTTTCATAAATTAATAGCATCCTTCGTTTTATAATTTACAAAAAAAAAAAATATTGTTCTTATCTCCATTCTAATTTCCCTTAAAATTTTATCAGCTTTAGTTTTATAAATGGAAATATACATGTTCAACCAACTTATAAACCAGAAAATGATGTATCTAAGAAAATAAATGTTCGATAACAACTTTTGAGTTATTATTTAGTAATTATTAACTCTTTAATATAATAACTGGAGATTAAGCATGGATCTTTTTATTTTTGTCTCTGGACATTAATGAACTGTACTAATCCTCCAGTCTTTTTATTATTATGGTAATAATTTTTAAGTCTAATTTATTAAATATAAATCTAAAAAATATAATCGACATTAACCATCCAAGAAGGCCATTTTCTAGATTGTACCTTGGTTTAACATATATGTTTCTATTTAAAAAATTTAGTTGATAAAATTTTAAGGGAAAAGAGGAGGGATAGTACCTAATTATTTTCTCAAATTATATGTACAATGTAGAATATTATTTCTCAAAACAAAAATAATATTATATTTTATATTTTGAAAGATTTCGTGTGTGTCATAGTTAAACAATTACTCTGTATAAAAAAATTAAGTGTATATAACGAATATTTGAAGTGTTAATAATAAATATAAATGTGAAAGAAAGCTTTAGGTTATGTACATAAAAAAAATCAATAGAAATTGAACATAGTTTTAAACTATGGAATACATTTATTTATATAATTATTTTATCATTTTCGTGGACTTCAGAGGAATAAGAAACTGATTTCCTGATATAACCCTTAAAAACTGAGATACAATTTTATGAAGTATCAGATAATGAAGATTTGATAGCACTAAACTAAAAACTAAACTAAACGTTTGTTGCGCACCTATATAGATGCACTAGGCTATAAAGGGTTAATTATTCTTTTAGGATAAAAATTCGTCAAAAAATAACATTTTATTGAAATAATTATGAATTGGTCAAATTTTTTTAAAGATAATTAAAAAAATTTGGATCCAAATTTCAATTTTTTTTTATTTGTATATAAACTTGTAAAAAACAGTAAATTATATTAAAATTAACATTATGAGTAATATATCTTCAAATAATTTTCAAAAAAATTTTTTTTACTCATATTTATGAGATTTTTATACCTACACATGTATGTAAAATAAATTAAAGAATAGAGATAGATTTAGGAAATTTGGCAAAAAACCATATGCATATAAATACAACTTTGACGGTCGTGGTGTTAATTATTATTATTTATTTTATTCTTATGACTGTAGTTTTACTATACCATAGCAAAACTAATAAAGTAACAACAAAGGCTAACCAATGTTATTGAAAATGACTTTTACACAGATTTACATGGACATCTATTATAGACATTTTTATATTTTTAGCACAGACGAACTGTTTTTTAACTAATTGACTAATTAGTATATGCAGTATGTAGAATGTGATGATTCTACAATCTGTTCAAAAGTCATTTTTAGTAACATTGGTTAGCCTTTATTGTTACTTTATTTGATCATCACAGAGTAACTTCGCTTATCTGAATTTATATTTGGAAACTTCAAAAATATATTAGCTTCGATGCGAAGCTGAGAAGGTATTGGTTTTACTATGATGTGTTTTTTTTTTTT